GAGAAGACGTTTTAGTCTGAAAAAGAGTTTATCCATTTTAAAATAGACACTTTGGTCGTCAAATGACACTCTGTTGTGTAGTCATACGGTTAGAGGAATGAAGCAATTTGTACATTGATAGCATGCAGAGAAGCCCATTTATTTCCTCTCTTCTCTAAGGCTTTGGCTACACTGGCACTTTGTCGGCAAAACTTTTGTTGTTCAGGGGTGTTAAAAACACTGCCCCCGAACGACAAAAGTTTTCACTGAAGAAAACAGTGCTTTGTCGGCAGAAGAGCTCTCTCCTGCTGACAAACAGTAGCCACACTGCGTGCCTTTTAGCGGCACGGCTGTAGCGGCAGAGCTGTGTCACTAAAAGCCTCGTAGTGTAGCCATAGCCTTAGACTGTTGAGGAAGGTGGTTAAGTTGGATATATGTTTATAGTTTTTAAACTATGGGATATATGCTCAGACCATCGTAGACACTAAAAAATAAAGAAATAAGGTAGGCATTTTGCTTGAAGCCAAATATTTTGTGTTTCAACTCAAACTAGTGCTACATCAACACTATTTGAAAGATTAAGCTTATCCTTAATCCCCTATTCTCTACAAGTGCTTTTTTTTTTTTAAATAAATCCAAATAAAGTACCATTCCCTCATTCTATGCACACTAGGTCTCTCACTTTCAAGAAATTCTAGGGAAGCAGGTTTCCAGCCTTTTTTTTTTAAATATAAAGAAAGGGGCTTATTAACCTAAACTTGTGTAAACTGTATCCTACCTTTAGGCTTGTTTTAAACCCATATTACTTATAACTTCTTGGATAATTGAAAGTGAAAATTTAAAATTCCATTTACTAACTACTGTTTATGCTCTGTTTAATTTAATTCTATTTCTCTATTGATTTTTTTTAAAAATGTACAAAGCATTTTTACTTCTAATTTAGCACACGTTTGGTTCTCTAATTGCAGGGTAATGTTGGTCTAAAACTGCGTTCACTGAATTTTTTAACGATGGTCACCACATTTTTATCTATGTTTAGTTATGTGTAAAAGCTTGGTCAAAGTTTAAACATGGAGCCTAAATTTAAATTGACAGTGTTCAGTTTAGTGGTCAAAATCTCCCTACTTCAGTTGCACGGAGTTGGGCACCTTAACAGTTTGATTTCAGTGGTGCTGAGTGCCACAGTCTTCTATAGCAATTGTAGTTACTCAGTGCCTCAGAGTCAGGCCATTTATAACACTTATCACTGTCTAGATGACATTTTGGTACCTTACTGCAGGCACTCTAGTTCTGGCCAGTGATTGTTCACATCGTAATTAGCAAATGGGTTACACTATTTTGCCAAGATAGTGTTTCAATGCATCTCCCCTCAACCATCCATTTGAGATAACACAGCTATGGGGCTGATCACTGTAGCTATAACTACTTGTACCAGTTGGGGATCTGCCCCTGTAAGTACTGAAAAGAGATAGGCTCTTGTCAATTTATGACATGGCTCTTTTTGTAAGAAAGATACAGAGCAGTAGGGGGAAATGAACGGACAGTCACTTTACCAATGAACAATGATGGCCAATAGCCATGGAGTTTTAAGAAATGATTGCAACTCATCTCTGCCACCTACAACTATAGTGCAGCAGAAACAGTTGCACTCAGTTATTTGGTAAATAAAAAGTTTGATGGCTGACAACCCACTTTTGAACTGCGATCATTGTAAGGAAAAGAATTATGACCAATAATGTCTACCAACCCTTACCTGCTTAGACAGGTCCTAAATTTATGATGCAAAACCAAAACATTTATACTCTATTCTGCATCAGTTTTAGCATAGATTGGTATTAAAACAGCTCCCCTCATGTCTAGAATTTCCAGTGCTCATGAATTACGATGTAACAATTCCAAGTGATAACTCAGGTTTTAGGGTTAAGTGCCCAACTAATACTGACTAACACATCCAGACTACATTTGCCAACTTTCACACAGTAAATAAGCACCCTGACTGTCCACAATAAGACAAAAAAAAAAGCTAATCCCATTTCAAAACAAGGCCAAAACAAGCCAATCCCAAGAACCTCACCACTATGTGACTGGATCCCCCCAGCATGCAGTCTGAGACTATGGTGGGCCCACCGTGCACCCCAACTCTCTTTCCCCCCCCCTTGTCCCCTGCTTGCCCCCCCTTGCCAGGAGCAGATAAAAACAAGCCAAAAAAACTAGTCAACAAGCAACTCACAAGCCAATTAAACCAAAAACAAGCCCAATTTCTACTCTCCCCCCCAAGGTTTGGCATGTCTGATCCAGACATGAGAAACAATTTAGGAGTTAATTATGTCAACTTTTCCCTTGTTTTTATTATGCTCCTTAGTTGAGCGCTTCCACACAGAGTAAAGGTATCAGCCATATATATTTGTATTAGATTACATAAACTCTTCAGGACAGGGACTGTTTTGCTGTATGTTTGACAGTGATAATTTCCACTATCATAATCTGGCTATTTCTCTCCCAAGTCCTACAGTTCAGGTGGGTATATAAAACAGACTGCCTACTCCCAAATCTCAAATTGAATTACCAGCTAAAACATCTCCTGAAATTCAAATGTCATTGCAGAAGCAGTCTATAGCAGTGGTTCTCAACCAGGAGTCCGGGGGCCTCCCAGAGGACCACAAGCAGGTTTCAGGGGGTCACCAAGCAGAACCAGTGTTGAGCCCGCTGGGGCCCAAGGCAGAAAGCTAAAGCCCTGCCATGCGGACTGAAGCCCGGGGCTCCGGGCCCTGCCACCTGGGGCTGAAGCCGAAGCTTGAGCAACTTCGCTCCGTGAGGCGCCCTGTGGCACAGGGCCCCAGGCAATTGCCCTGCTTGCTACCCTGTACCACCGGCCCTGGCTTTTATATGCAGAAAACAGTTGTGGCACAGGTGAGTTGTGGCATTTTTATAGCATGTTGGGGGGCCTCAGAAAGAAAAAAGGTTGAAGTTTTCATTAACCGGAAGAAATAAAGTCACTAATTTGCAAATATTTTAGATAGCCCCATAAGATTTTGAACAACATTTCTGAATCTAAAGGTAGGCACCCAAATCCATATTTAGGCATAAAAAAAAACAGGCCGATTTCTTCCCCCCCTCCCAAGGTGCTGATCAGCTTAGCTCCCATTAACATTTGACTTGTGGGTGCTCAGCACCTCTGGAAAAAAAAAATTGCCACTTATTTAAATACATAATTTTAGGTACCTTAATTAGCAGCACATGTGTGCTCTTCCTTATCACCAGTAGCAATTCAACATACTGGACTATCGTGTTTCAAAAAGAAAAATATATAATTGCTACTAAAGATGACAGATGTCTTGTAAGACAGAGCAAAGAGAAAGATCATTTGACACAGTTATTGTTGGCTAAATAATACAGTCAGGACATTGTTGGTCTGGATTAGTGGTTGATATATCTGAATTTTTATTTTTGGTTTTTCATTGCAGTTAATACTCTAATTTATAAACCAAGCAAATTTGAAATTAAAGTAGTCAGAATAGAGACAGGACACAAAAGGTCATTTAATCAAAATATTGCAATACTCCAGTTAGCAAACTTAATCTGGGATTCAGATTAATTTGGAACAATTGATCAATCTGGACCCAAACAGGAAGCTTATCTTCCACATGCTGCTTAAAAAACAAAAACAAAAAACAAAAAAAAACACACACACACACACACACACACACACACACACACACACACACACACACACACAGAAATCACATGCTAACTAATTTATTCCATCAGCTGTTGCAAAAACAACCAAGCCTGCTTTTGCAACAATTCTTTAGTTAACTACAGTTATCATATTTAAGATAGAGACTGTCAAAAATCATAAAGATAGAAAGAGGTCTTACTTCAATGAGTGCTATAAAACAGATATTTACTGTAGATAAAACACAGGAACAAGCCCCCCCATGAGAAGATGCACTTGAGGGTTTGGGGTTCTGGTTTCCAAGAAAAAATTGCTTAGTTTATTAAGTGCTGTATATTTCATAGCAAAATTGCACAGTACTCAAGTGAGAATGCAAAGAGATACATTTAAAGTATACTGTACTTCGCAAGTTCACATCTTTCCAGTATCTACTTCCCCAAACTTAATCAGCAGAAGTCTGACACTGTATTTAATGCCTGTCATTTCTTTGAGGAAACTGCATCCCTTGGACAAGAATGATAAGTTAAGGTCCCCCACCAAAAGGGTAGGTTTTTTTTACATGGTCTATGGGCTCTGGCAAATTCTGATGTATGAACAGAGGAACAATCTTACAGTCCTTACTCAGACAGACCTCCCATTTGAGTCAAGTGTGAGATGAAAATATTTTTCCATTTATGTTCACATTTTCCATTGTTTCGAAGTTACATCTCTGCAAGAATAGGAAGCAGTGTTTCTGGACATTTGTTTAGATTAGCCTGATCAACTATCTTTAGCAGTATCCTCTTTCGCCAAACACAAGAGCCACTGCATCTTTAAGTAGTAAAAAGAGATTGAAGAATTTGGGAAGTCTATCAGGCCTTCAAAGACAAGTGTGGCTAATGGGAAAGACATCAATTTTTGAACTGGATGTGGAGGATTCACAAGTTTAGAACTGCAGACCATGGACTTAGTCTGCTCCTTACTTGTAATTTTTCCAAAACTTACTGCTTTCCACTGCTCAACATATGCCAAGAATCTCTTGGAAACTAGAAACTATATATAACTGAAGACATACAAGACCTACCTGCCAAGAAGAAGTGCACGTACTTCACTGCAACATAATTAATTTCACCTTCAACCAGGTTGCCAGTCACATCCCCTAACAAAATGCAATGCTTTTTCCTCTTTAAGTGGATACTTCCTCAGAACCAGTTTCTGAAGACCTCTCCTGAATAGTCCTCTTTACAACATTATGAAATAATTCTGATACTATTCAGCTTCATGCTTTGTAATTACACACTTGATCAGATTTTGCATAAGTTTTGATTTACCAAATGGGAGAGTGGAAAAAAGTGTTTTTACTTGCCTGAACATCAAAATCCGGAAGAAGGCGAGTGATTGCCTGTGAAGAGAGATTTGTAATCTATTAATGCAGATATGCATTGCAGCTGCAAAATTAGTCTGAATTAAATAAGTATACACATATGTAAAACTCCCAAATTTACAAAAAAAGACCAAATTCAATAGCACCCCCCACCAAAATACAGTAAGACTTCCATTACCTTCAATGGGAGTTTTACTCAGCAAGTGAAGAATTTAGCCCCAAGTATTTTACAGACACTAGTTATGCTTCAAGAGATATACTTGCTTAATTTGTAGAATGTATAGTGAAGTACAGAGAAGCTAATGATTAACCTAAAGTAATGAATTAAGTCAATGGACTGAGAACAGAGAATAGAATCCAAGAATTTTAACTTGGATTCCTTGTTCTAGCAGCTAGGTAGCACTCTTTTAGGGCTTCCCTCCACTGGAAAGTTGCATTATGTTAGAACAGTGGTTCTCAACCAGGGGTCTGAGACCCCCTGGGGGCTGCAAGCAGGTTTCAGGGGGGTTGCCAAGCAGGGCCAGCTGGGGCAGAAAGCCAAAGCCCCGCCACCCAAGGCTGAAGCTGAAGCCTGAGCAATGTAGCTTTGTGGGGCCACTGTGGCATGGGTCTCAGGCAGTTGTGCTGCTCACTACCACCTAAAGCCAACCCTGGCTTTTATATGCAGAAAAGCAGTTGTGGCACAGGTGGGCATTGGAGTTTTTAATAGCATGTTGGGGAGCCTCAAAAAGAGAAAGGTTGAGAACCCATGTTTGAACGAGCTGTGAAAACGTTAGTGCATGTTTATGCAGCTGTTACTCATTTATGTGAATTTCCACTGAAGTCAATGGGACTACTTGTCTGTGTAAGGCAGGAGAGATTTAACCCTCAGCATAAACAAGAATTGTGATGCTTAACCCTGGTGTCCGCCCAACATTAAACAAGCCATTAAAGGCTGCCCAACACAAAGTAAGCATATTTTACCACCCCCCAACACACCTGCAAGCCAAGAGGGTTTATAACCTCCTTAAGACAATAAAGAGCTAAATGTATGCCATCTTAAATATATCTACATGCAATAATATAATAAACAATGTGTACATATTAGCTGCATATATGTTGAGAACAGAGAATTTAACTAGGAAGGAGACGGTGGCTGAGGACAATATGGATAAGAGCAGCAGGACCTAGAACTTCATATTCATCAAGCTACACCAGGGAAAGGGCTGAAAGGAAAAATATACATGCAAAAAGAACAAACAGACCCCCGGAGGCAATGAGGCCCAGAAGACTAAACCAGGATACTTTAGTGCAGTGGTTCTCAAACTTTTGTACTGGTGACCCCTTTCAAATAACAAGCCTCTGAGTGCGACACCCCCTTATAAATTAAAAAACACTTTTTTATATATTTAACACCATTATAAATGCTGGATGCAAAGCAGGGTTTGGGGTGGAGGCTAACAGCTTGCCACCTCCCCATGTAATAACCTCATGACCCCCTGAGGGGTCTCAACCCCCACTTTGACAAGCCCTGCTTTAGTAACTAACATTTTGGTCTTGACCAATAGCATCATGATAAACTATCAATTAGAAATATAAAATGAGGCCTCAATGGAATGATTGCTTTATCAGAAGTCTGAGTCTGGATTACAAGAGGGCTACAGAAAGCAAGGTATTTATATTGGTAGCTAGGCAATATCTCATTGTGCAGTAAAATATAACGTAAAGTTTGTAACCCCCAAAAGAATCAGTGTTGCAGGGTGAGAAGTTTTTGAAACCTCTGAGAGCTGGTCCTGTTATATTTAATTATTTATATATATAAAAAATAAAATAAAATAAAAATAAATATAAATATACAAATAAATAAATAAAAGAAGTCCTCCTATCTTGTAGGAAATGGGTTTGGTTTTGTTATAACCAGGAACAATGTTATATATAGGAACATGTCATAGATGGCTCTGGAAATGTTAATGGTAGAAAGCATAGCTAATTCATTTATTCACCACAGGGTTCTGTGGTACTCTAGAGCTGGAAGGCAGGTAAATAATATGCATCCAGAGAGATTGTACGCTACTTAGACTGTGTGTTTAGAAATAAGGTAGCATCTTGGGTCAGAGCATGTAATATATTCCTTTTTTGCTCAATAAGACCAATTTTTCATCTGCCCATGACAGAGATCCAGAGAGTTCTGCAGTGTTTTGTTAGAGATGTCAACACCTTTTAGAAATAATACATGCTTAAGGCGAGACTTCAGTGGTGAGACATTAAAGCTCAGTGCTTCTCCTCTTGCAAATATCACCCCGAATTTAAAGTATGAAAAGAGGATCTTTGTTTCTGAACAAATTACCTGCTCCTCTTACCCAGATTCCAAATTGTTTTCATGCAAGCATTCTTGGTAATAAAGGAGACTAGAGAACTATTTTAACACAACTGAAACAAAGTGGTTTGTGAGTGGATTTCCAAAGTTTTGAGGTGTGTAACTAAGCTTAATGAAGGTGGGTGGATGAAAGAGAGTTACAAATATAGGAATTAAGAGTTCTAGCATGGAAAACAGTGCAGAAAGCTGTGCAAGATTTACTGTTGCCAGGAGTTACAGCCACATGTTAACAAGACTTAGGGTATATGTCTACACTGCAAAGTTGTAGACAAAATTTTTGTCTTTCACGGGTATTTAAAAAAGCACCCGCCCCCCGCAAAAAACAAAAATTTTGCCCAAGTGGCCGTGTGAATGCAGCTTTGTCAGCAGGAGCACTCTCCTGATGACAAAGCTAACGCTGCTCACGGGGCTGGAAGTATTTTGTTGGCAAAAGTGCAGACAAAGTACTGACAAACAGCATTTACACACTGACTTTCAGCGACAAGGCTGTTTGTTGCTAAAAGCTGTGTGGTGTAGACAAGCACTAAGAAGGGCACATTTGAGAGATCCATTCGCAGGCAATAGCAAACATTTGCCAAGAATGTATTCCTATTACAGCAACTTTCCACTCAGAAAAAGAGAAGGCAAAATTGTTTGCCTAGAATTGCACAGATTAACAGAACAATCTGGCCTACGTCTGAGACATTGGCGCTGCTTCATGGATCATTGGGATGAGATGTTCTAGGACTACTGGTGCTTTCCATCCAAGTATACAGGTGATCTAGAATATTTAATAGAATGTGGAACCAGAGCCACTGAAGCACACAGTGTTAGCGCTATTGATGATTAGGATGGCCATGAAACTTGAATGCTGTGGACAAAAGAGCAAGTTGAAAAATACTCTAATACATGGGGGAAGACTACTAACCTTAAAGTAGAAACAGTGGTATAAACAGAGAGTAAGGGTGAGTTTACAGTTTTTGCGCTGTTTTAAAGTGCTTTTATCAGTACAGTTTATTTCTGTAAGTTTATCAGTAAATATATACAAATATATAACTGCATCCACATTAGAGGATTGCACCAATGTAATTATCAGTTTCTAAACAGATAGTCAAAGTGGTATAAAAATTATGCAGACCAGCCCTAAGCATGAGGAATGAATGGCTGAAAGGAAAAGAGAATGACAACCTTCCTTGCTCTGTGTGTCATAGTATGACCTGTATGAAATTTTATTTCCAAAGATGGAGGCGTGGAGGGGGGGGGAGAAATTGAGTATACATGGTTTGTGTTTTAATTAGAGGACTACATAAGGCCCAATCCTACTCTGATTATTTTCAGACAGCAAGATTAGCCCCCAGTGTTTCCATATACCTAACATTTGCTTTTTTCTGAAAGGATTAAGAATTTAACAATTTTTCAGATGAAGAAAAAATGCAATTCAAGCAAGTCCCAGATTACAAAATGTAACTGTTTAGTTAAAATTACCTCATCTTTCTCTACCAGAGGTTTCACCTCTGCGAGGTGAGCATCCTGGAGCTCTGTCGACATGGTTAGTAGCTGATATCTGCAAAGATCAAGAAAGCTTCAGCATATTTGTTATTTTATACCAAGGAGTTTTAAACAGATGGGGGGGGGAGGGGAGACCAAACAACAACAACAACAGACCACTTCCTACCTCCTAGAGTCTCAGATTAAAGATTGTGAATCTGCTGGGAAACACACCCCTTCTCCCACCCCCACCTCCCTAGTTAGAATATGAAGGTTACAAAATCAATTAACACTGTGCAGAAGTGAGGCAATGATTCTATAGCAAAAAGATAGAATGTGTTCATGTCACTCAAGGGTGTATCAAAGTATATGCACAAGGAGTCAGAATCAAGGTTGCATGGGTAATTACTTCTGATATGTCCTAATCGGAATATTTGATTTTGTAACCCTAGTTGTTCTCCCTCCCCCCCTCAAATTAGACTTTCCCCATGTAGTTTTCTATATTTATGGGAGTGGGAGGGAATCCAATCCAGTACACTCATTAGCAGTTTTGGAATCTTGGACAGATTCACAGCACTGAATTCTACCACTTTAGCTAATGGAGTAACCAATAGCAAATATAAACTGATTTCCTCCATGTGGACAGCCACAAGAGGGATGTAATACACTGTTATTTGCTGGACAGTAGAAGGAAGGTGGGAATCAGGATATTTGCATTCTATTCCTGGTTCTGGGAAGGGAATGTCATCTAAGACCAGAAGTAGGAGACAGCATAGCTAAGGATATGGATTTGGCACAGTCTGAAAGGTAGTGTAGCTAAGTGGATAGGATTCTGGATTTATTCTATTAGACACCAAGTGCACAGTAATGTTAACACGACAGTGGTAAAGGTGCAATCTGAACTCAAGCCATATGGTTCCCAGACCAGTACACCTAGGCTAATATGTTTTTTGATGTGGGAAAATAGGCTGGCGCAGGAAGTTTAAAACTTCGCCCTGAGCAGTGGTGATGGGATTTCCAGAAAATTAAGAAGCAAGTGTTTAACAAATTCAGCAGTGCAAAGGCACAGCAAGTTTCCAGAATTTAAGAACCTGGATTATAATTCATCCAAATTAGATGACATTTGGGAACATTACTATCCCCTATGAAAACAATCCCTCTGTCAAATTTCAGTTCCAAGTTTTCTGCTCCAAACTCCTGATTAATCATTTGTATTGTGGTAGCACCAGGAGATAACCTCACTATACTAGATATACTAGTCTGGCCCTATCCTAAGGGGCTTTCAATCCAAGTATGATCAAGTGCTAGCAGCAGCACCCTGATCAGACATTTCTGCAGCATGACGACTGCAGGCCCAGCTGGAGGAAGTTAACCATTTTCTATTCAGGGATTATGAGTAAGGTTGCGGGTTTGTCAGAGGTCATGGAAGTCAGATTCTGTGACTTTGTGACCTCTGACTTCTGCAGCGGCTGGTGCGCCTGGCTCAGCGGCAGCTCAGGCAGCCCCTGCTGGGGAAGTCTGGAATCACTGTGCCCCCCATTCCCGCCCCCAGCAGCAGAGTTTGGGGTGAGGCAGGCTCTGGGTGGTGCTTACCGGGGGGGCTCCCCAGAGGTGGACATCCCCCTCACTCAGCTCCTAGGCAAAGGCAGCATGCAGAGCGATAGCTTCACAGCACCCATTGGCTGGGAACTGCAGCCAATGGCAGCTGCGGGGGTGGTGATTGCAGGTGGAGGCAGCATGCAGAGCTGCGTGGCCATGCCTCTGCCTAGGAACTCAGCAAGGGGGATGTCACTGCTTCCGGGGAGCCCCCCAGGTAAGCACTGCCTAGAGCCAGCCTCACCCCATCCTGTGCCCCAACCCCCTACCACACCCAAACTCTGCTGCTGCTGGGGGGGAGGCACAGAGCCAGGTAGGGAGCCTGCTGCACCCTCCCTCCCTCCCCCACCCAATCAAGTTTTATTCAGGGGTATATAGTAAAAGTCATGGACAGGTCATGGGCCGTGAATTTGTGTTTATTGCCCATGACCTGTCCATGACTTACTAAAAATACCTGTGACTAAAACAGCCTTAATTATGAACACCTGGGTGGTAATTACTGGGCTAAGGATGTAATTGGGAGGACATAAGTAGAAGAAACAGGAAGCTAAGAGTAACTGGGCTAAGGAGGAAGGCTGCATGGAAAGCTCCTGCTACAAGATGCTTGTGTTATGTTCTGGGTGTAGAAGTGCAGAGGATTAAAAGATACACATGGTGAAAGGGAAACAGCCTAGGCATGTTTATGACAGTGAGTTGACACCAAGTACTAAAGCTATTCAAAGTGGTCAGGAGACCAAAAAAATTACTAGCATGACTATTTTCTACCCAATCTTGTTCTCTGAAATGGATTTACCATTTTTGCTTAAGTTGTTCAGAAAAGTTTCAGCCTGAGGTAGAGAGTAGGAATAAAAATTTTCATCTAAAAAATTAGAAGTGTCAGTTACAAGCAACTGACAATGAAGGCAAGGAAATACGTTAGGCAACCCTGAACAGAAATCTATGCAATCCATATACAATACATAGTCAGCTACTGTTCACAATAAATGCACTATTTAAAAGCTAGAGATATTTCTCTATTGTCGATAGCTAAAACGGGGATACTGTGAAATAAAGTTAACCTTTCACTGAATTCCACAATATGGACTGAAGAATGCAAAAACAAAAAAAACTGTCATGCTTTGCTACAAATCCATTAGTTTCAATTCAAGTTCATAAAAGTAATGCAAACATGTCTTCATGAGGGATTGTGAAAGGTAAGACTGCATTTTTCCAGTATTAGGTGGGAACCACACCACAACTTGTATTTTTGTGGTAGAAATACCCATAAGTTTTTACATGGAATGGTTTAGGTTTCCAGGACATTAGAACACAAAACAGAAAGGATTTAAAAAGCCATACCAGAAAGAATACCTTAGATATCTTATGGCACTGAAATGATTGTTTTTGCAATAGTTCAAAGTTGTTACATTATGTTTAGTAAAAACTAAAGCTAGGAAGTGCTGACCAACATGCTTCTCCACTGCTTCTGTGAAGATCTAAAGAGAAAAAGCTTTGTGTGTAACAAGATTTATTTGATATCTGGAAATCACTGGATCTTCAAATCGTACTTCTGCATCAGCTCAGGCATTTCTGATTTAGTATGTTTTCCTTCTATCAATTAAGATCACTTGAAAGATTTTCAACAAAAGCCAATATTCCTGATATAATTGGCATAGTATTGTTCCACTGATTCAAAGACTGAAGCACAAACAGTATCTGACCTCAGTGAGCCAATTTATTTTCTGAAGAGAAAGTTGCTTGGGGAAAGTGGTTTTACACATGTTCACTGCAAGTTTCATTATGTTTAAATAGGTGCTGTGTGTTGCCCTCTAACACTACACTGTAGCTTGTAGTTGATGTAACGGCATAACTTTCCTGGATCAAAATAGTTTTTCCCTGCCCAAGTGCTCAATACACAAAGTTCATCTATATTTGCAAGCATCTGTGTAAAGTTGCCAGCACCAGGGAAAAAACAAAACCCCAAGGTTTTCATTTCACTTCACCAGGTCAGCTTTTGGGTCTATATTAATTGAACATCCTGCCAACATATTCAGCAGTAGGCTCCCACAAACTTGAACCTGGTTATTAGATGCAATTCCTGCCAAGGTAAAGGATTAAATTTCAAAAGGCTCACACATGATTACTGAGGAGAATTAAAGCCTTAATTATTGGAACAGAGTCTTCTCAAAACTGATCAAACATCAGTGCTTGCCAACCTGCAGGAGCAGAATCACATTAGCTTATGGCAAGGCAAGGGGAACAGGAAAGGAAACCTCATAGTTCATCCATTACAATGGGGGCTCCAACAAAAAAGTGGGGAATCTCATTCATGTTTTTAGGCCCTATCTACATTACACTGGTGTAGCTACAGCAATCCTCTAAAATACATACTATGCTAACACAAAGAGGGTATTGTGTGTTGGTGCAACTTGATCTTCAATAAGACACTGGTGCAGAGGATCTACGTTATGGGTCTCCTACAGAAGGAGAAAAAAAAAAAAAAAAAGACATTCAATTAGAGCTAGTCTACACTGGCAACATTAAAGCGCTGCCACGTCAGTGCTTTAACGTGGCTTGTGTAGTCACAGCAGAGCACTGGGAAAGAGCTCTCCCAGCGCTCTTAAAAAACCCACCTCCACAAGGGCCATGGCTCCCAGCCCTGATGCACTGTCTACACTGATGCTTTACAGCGCTAAACTTGCTGTGCTCAGGTGGGTGTTTTTTCCACATCTCTGAGCGAGAAAGTTGCAAGCACTGTAAAGTGCCAGTGTAGACAAGCCCTTAGACAGGCAAAGTGTTGCCCTAGATACCTCAGATAAGTCAATTATTCCTTTGGTAAAATAATCTTTTCAGTTCTAGTGATAGTGTTCAAATGCTGCATAATTCAGGAGTTGGGGAGTTTAGTAATCCCTTGCTCTATTGGACTATTTAGAAAAACTGGATGAGCACAAATCCATGGGGCCGGATGCCCTGCATCCGAGGGTGCTAAAGGAGTTGGCGGATGTGATTGCGGAGCCATTGGCCATCATCTTTGAAAACTCATGGGGATCGGGGGAGGTCCCGGATGACTGGAAAAAGGCTAATGTAGTGCCCATCTTTAAAAAAAGGAAGGAGGAAGATCCAGGGAACTACAGGCCAGTCAGCCTCACCTCAGTCCCTGGAAAAAATCATGGAGCAGGTCCTCAAGGAATCAATTATGAAACACTTAGAGGAGAGGAAAGTGATCAGGAACAGTCAGCATGGATTCACCAAGGGCAAGTCGTGCCTGACTAACCTAATTGCCTTCTATGATGAGATAACTGGCTCTGTGGATGAGGGGAAAGCAGTGGATGTGTTATTCCTTGACTTTAGCAAAGCTTTTGATATGGTCTCCCACAGTATTCTTGCCGCCAAGTTAAAGAAGTATGGGCTGGATGAATGGACTATAAGGTGGATAGAAAGCTGGCTAGATCGGCGGGCTCAACGGGTTGGGATCAATGGCTCCATGTCTAGTTGGCAGCC